AGAGCTCTTAGATGCCTCACCGAAGTTGTCGGACTTCAATGCCAAAATCGAGGAAGCCTCCAACCTTGTCGCCTTTCGGATCGCGAATGTTCCAGCGACTATAAAATTAATCAACCGCATTGAGACGGTCGATGCCGGTAGGATCTCACTGGAGATTTACCGCAAAATACAACAACGTCCATGCCAGGTGCGACCGCACGGGACATGTCGTCCTGGAGCGCCATACAGAAACTGGTATGCCCTTTTCAACCGGGACTCCGCCCCTCGTGCGAGCTTCCGAATTCTCGACGAGTCCGGAGCGGCTACAAAGATCCAGCCTCGTCGCCAAATTGAACAGTGCAAACGCTGTTTGGGCTTCCACGCCACTGGCGGTTGCTCCCGCGCCCCAGCGTGCTGGAACTGCGGATCAAACATGCACTCGGAAGCCGAGTGCAAGGCCCTCACAAAGTGTCGCAACTGTGGGGGACCCCACCGATCGGATTCTCGGGACTGCAAAGTCAGACCCAATAAGTCTGGACCGGTGACCAAAGAGCAGCTCGCGTGGATCCGCCACATCGAACAAGGGGAGTTCGCGAAGGTGGCACGAGCACGAGCAACAGCAAAGAAGGCCAAAGAGGCAATCACCGCCGCTGCAAAGGACGTCTCGATGGCCGAGGCTACAGGTTTCGGAGTTCTGGAATTTGGAGAAGAAGTTTGAGGACACAGCAACCTCGACGATGTCCCTTTTGGGGCATATACTAACCAATAGCAGGATACCGGCTGGATAAAAAGTGCCTGCTATCTCATCTCTTGCTCTCAGCGGAGATTGAGTAAATTTGTCATTTGGAAGATGTGGCAGGAAAGGGAACGGGCGAGAAGCGCGGGATCCGGACCACATGAAAAATCTTGTAAATTTGATTTCAGTCTTTGGCTTTTAGTTTTGATTTTAGTTTTTGATTACAGTTTCTGAGTTATAATTTACCTGCTACTTTTTCTGTAGCGGGTCACGCGGTTGGAATGAGTTGGACCTGTGAGCAGTGATCCCCGCCGGCTCCACCAGTCTTGTACCGATAGTGGACCTAGAGCTTTAGCTTAGGACTTTAATATAAAAAATAAAAAAAAATCACTTCGTCAATTACTTCCATTAACCATCACCTGACTTATCTCTGTACTCCATAATTTCAACACTTGTAACCTATTATTCCAATAAGATCTGATAGAACTTATGCCATGGCAGCGAGACGAAGAAACGGGGGAACCCTTGGAGGTATTATAGTCATGAGGCTATGTATGACATCTTGGAGTCTGGACTTTGACAGTCTGCGGAACTGAGGATAGAAGAAGGTATGGCGATTAAGTCAATTGGAATCTATATGTTTATATATATTTATATATGAAAGGATGAAAGGATGAAGCAGTGCAGTCTATCTCTACGAGAGAAGTGTTCCTAATACCCTGCGCACGCGCCTCGGCCAATCCTTCTTTTTTTTGCATCAGATTTTAATTGCGTATGCAGCTATCTAGCTATGACACAATATCAAAGAAAAGTACAGAATAGATGATTCAACGTATAGGAAGAGCACTCATGCCTCAGATTTCATTTGCAAGTACCACTGCGAAGTTCTGGTGGCTTTTTCTTCACCCCAAGTCAAGCCTCATCCGTGAATACCCACCCAGGGGGAACGTCTCAAAAACCCCGAGTTATCCAGACATGCCTCCATCATCCATTTACTTTTCTCCGCGCGAAATGTGGTCTTAGGTATCTCCTTCCAGAGGTGGAGTATGTGCCCAGGCTGCTTAAACTTTACCAGAGAACACCACTAAGAGCCAGATCCCTGCTCCTTTCATCGTCGACTTGCTTTTTAGCATCAGCTGCACTCTCGCAAGCGAAGTCTTGGCGCGCACAAAGCTCAATTCGTAAAACTCTTGCCAAAATTCGGAATCTCACGCCCTTCGAGGTTAAGTCCTTCCTTTGCATCATCATGTCAGCTTGTCCTGATCCATCTCACGTCCATCCCAAAGTACTGTCTCCCAGATTTGTGCGCCACGCTTTGATTCCTCCGTCGGGTATAAATATCGGCGTGGGCGTGTATTTGGTGACCAGCTGAGGCCAGAGAAAGTCGACGAGAGGTGTGGTAATTGGAATTAGGATGTACTAGGTAGTGCTTGTAGGCTTGACGAGACTTAGGTAGGCGTTAAACTCGTTGGGAGCGGAAAAAAGACGTGGAGGAGTAATTTTGATTTTTGCCTCGTGGGCCAACTTCTTTGATATTGCAAAATTTGACTGAACTTGGCCCTGGGAGAATATTTCACTCCCAGGCTCGTAGAAGACACCGCGTACAGGTGTTCAGTCTTGCCCTCCGGCTAATCCTTCACTGTGACTTGCTTGCCACACTTAGTTTAGTTAACGTGATGTCTCATTGCTCATACACGCCAATCCTTATTGTATGTCACAACAGGAGGAGGGTCATTTGGGGATGGTTTGTAATCTACCCAGCCTAAAGGTAGGTCGACAGAATTCTTCTTGCCTGCAACGTGTTTGATAAAAAAGCCGAAATGGCTGACCTTGGAGTACCAGTCTACCCGGCGGCGGCTTAAATTCGCTGTAGTGTTGGAAATTTAGAGATTCTTGTGATCCGGATATACGGTGATTTGATATCTTGCTCCTTTGGGGTAGTGGCGCCAGTGCAAGAGACTAAATACAATAGCCATCAGTTCTTGGTCGGGTGTTGCGTAGCGGCTTTCTTCGGGAGAATTTAATTTCGAGTAAAACCCGATGTGGAATTTGGTCCCGTTTACAATTTTCACGGATCCGTAAATAGAATTTTAATACTAATATTAATTCGTGATAAGATGAAGGGGTAGTTAATTAAAGACATCAGTTTAATAATAGCTTCCCCTATACAATTAGTCGTGTAAAAAGTCATGTAAGGATATACAAGAGAGTCATGAAGAGAAGGACAAGAACACAGCCATCAATGCGAAGATATTGGCAAGAATTGATTACGATTAATTCCGGCTGGCAAATGCTTCTACTCTTGTATATAATAGTTCGGCGTGAGAGAGATTTACTCCTCACGCAACGTCTTCTTTATCTACCATTTACAATACATTTGTTCACCCATCTCCTCTTCGGGAAGACCATATATCCATTGCTCAGTTTTTCATCAGCAAGACCCACGTGTAACACCTACTGCAACTAGTTGCCCATTCATCTCTTCCTAGAGAAGACCTATCATCCCTTTGACCCATTTATAATCTTCACTTACCACCTAGATCTTTACTAGGCTATACAACGCACCCCGTGGAACACTATCAAACCCTCATCCCTGAGAACAATCTGGGACAGTATCCCTGCAATGGCGTAATGCAAAGAGTCAATTTCTAGGATGGCGGGTAGGTCTGAATTCCAGTGATGAAGTACTTTAGAGTCGCGAAAGGCGCCTTGTAGTGCAGGAAAATTCTGTATTCCTTCCTCACACAGCTCAAATATTTGTTGGATCTGGCATTTGCGAGTGAGTGTGGTAAGGCCGTAAGCGATCCCCGAAAAATTGGGAATAAACCGGCGTTAAAAATTGATAAAACCGAGGGATGACTGTACCTATTTGAGCGAGACTGGGGTGGGCCATTCGGTGATGAGCGCGACGCAAGATGGATCGACCGTGACCACGTTAAGCTGAATGATAAACACAAGAAACTTCGTTGTGGTGACTTCGAATTCTGATTTCTCTGGTTTGATGAACAGATTATTTGCACGAAGGATATTTAGAAATTCGCATGTTCGTTCGATAAATTTTTCTTTTATGGCTCCAAAGATTAAGATATCATCGGGTTGTACATTAATTTTTCTGCGAGCTCCTTGAAAATATCATCCATGCTTGCCATGATGCTGGAGCATTGAAGAGATCGAATGACACTACTTGGTATTCGTAAAGTCCGTATTTTGTGATGAAGGCGGTTTTCCACTCGTCGCCTTAAGCGATGCGAAGTAGTTGGAAGGCGTTTCGGAAGTCCATCCTGGTGAAGTACTTTGCACCGTGTAGTTTTGCAACGAAACCGTGAAATAGTGGCAGCGGATATACTTTTTGGATCGTATTTACGTTTAGTTGGTGATAATCAACGCGAAGACGTAGCTCTTTGGAGTTGGATTTTAGTTTATACATAATCGGCGATGCGCAAGGTGATTTATGTCACGGTAAGCTTAGCAAGATCGACAAGGTCAAATCTGGTGAATTAGATTATCTACAACGAGAGAAGAACCCTTATGGAGTTATCAGATATTTAATATACAATGTGGGCCACGTGTCTAGCAAATAATGTTACGTGGTAGTACTACAAAGTTTGTTCCTTGACAACTTACTTTTCCTAATCTATCCTCATTCAGTGCCATCTTTGAGATATTTTTTGAGAAGTTCGTCCTCGTCAAGGGATGGAGTGAATTGAGGGAAGTTACTGTCACGTGATATAACGCGTCTGATACGCAATTCACGATGTATATATTTTTACAGGACTCATCAGGAGACTCCTTTCTTCTTTGTAGACAATCTCAATCACCAGATTAGACCTCTTCAATCTACTTCATGATCTTCCCCTGACAGTCCTCGACCTCGGACATTTTAAATACATACGTTGTTTGGTGTTTGTTTTTATCCTTGAGTTCGATCTTATGATCCAGTTCCGGGCGTCAGGGAACAAGTTTTTCGGCTTGGGTCGAGAGAATATGTCGGCGTAATACTTGAAGGTTTCAGGAATATCTGGTGTAGTGTCTTTGTGACGAAGCCAGGCTGGTTGTAGTGTACTTTTAGAGAGGTTAATCTATATGAAGAGAGTAACACAATTACGGGTAATGGCTATTTGTACTTCGTCGTCTCATACTCCTTCCTAGCTCCAATGTAATGTGGCGAAGTGAAACTTAGTCGCTTGATACAAGACAACATGGAACACTCTCCCTACTGCTCCCCAAAACTCCGCTTAGGTCTCCACCTAAGCTAAACCACAGTCAAACCGTAACAGTCTTGCTCTTATCCTTTTATGATTTTGTTGAGTTCAAGGAAGTGGTATGGCTCTTCCCATTTTACTGGGGTTGTTGAATTCTCATCTTCCATATCGTCGCTCTCTGGTTCAAGGGCGGCTTTTTTGTTGCGGATGAGATCGTGGACCTGAGATATGATGACTCTTAATTGTTCGTAAGATGCAATTGTCGCGCGACGGACCTTTTTTGCTCTGGTATGGGCATCATGGGCTCGTTTTCTTTTATCCATTTCGATTGTCTTGGCTTCATTTAAGTGGCGCATAGAGCGGCGCGAGCCTGCGGTTACAGTGACGGGGAAACATTTACCTGTTTTGAGGTGTAAAGGGATCTTGAGCTCCTTTTTGTCTCGAACACGCCGTTTCCTGAGGGCTCTTATCTTCTAATTTATATCCGGGTCAGTGTCTACGAGCCAAGGACATCCTAGTATAGCGTCATGTTTTCCGATTGGGGCTGGAAAGAAAGAATAATCTATGTTTCAGAGCTTATTGATATCAGAGTCAAGTGTAATTAAATTGACTTTAGAAGCAAGCAAAATTGAATGTCCGTCAAGAGATAAGACAGTTTGATTCAGTGGTCTACTGTACTTTATTTCTATCTCATTGACTAGCTGTTCGTGTATAAAATTCCCTTCTGCTCCACAATCTACTAGCGCTACTACTGCCTTTTCTCCCAAGCACCCAGTCACTTCTATGGAATTATTCTTGTACCTGGGTTTCGGGATAGCAGAAGTAGGACGCCACAATTTGGATTTGGGGCCAAAAGGTACCGGACATGAGGCAACTGTATCGGCTTGTACGTTCATGATCCTCGGTTGAAGCGGCCGTCGAGCTGGGTTTGGGCAGCCAACGATTCAGTATCCAGGACTGCTACAGAAAAGGCACAAATTATTCACCAGACGATGTTATTTCCACTCCGCTTTCCGGTAATTCGTCATCCGAGGACTAGAACGAGCACCCGCATCGGGAGTTTATCGTGCTTGTAATTGCTGCGGTTGGTACTAGCGAGGTGCTTGCAGCTGTAATTGGCGACGTTCTTGTGCGAGGTTCATGTCGAATCTTTTGAGCTGGTTCGGAAGCTTTAATGATGGAGACTTGAGGTATTTGGAAGAATAGCTCGCATAGGAGCTTTCAATTGAAGTATAATAAAAAATGTAATTGTCTCTCTATCTGTCTTCTCCCTCCCCTCAGCTTATATATCTACACATATCTACTACCTGACATATGATGATAATATCTAGAAATGGCTTTCTTACATCACAAGACACAATCCAAACATGCTGTAGCCAAAATATAATCCTAAACCGACTCAATACCAGTCCACCACGTCTGTTACACGGACCCCAAGTATTTTCTACCTGAAAATTCCCCAAACGCCAAGGTTTTCCTGAGGCAATCACAAATTATGTCAGGTACCAGCTTGGTACGTTATTCTGACAATAATGTTACGATCATGTTAGAAGAATGGAATTTACATGAATCATGAAACATTAAGTCAAGAATACGGATCCCATCGGGCTCTGGTACTAATCTGACAGTTCGTATCGAGACGGATGCAGAAAGCTCGAACTTGCGGATAGTCAAATTGATCTAAATTCGACGAGAGGATCAATTCTCTACGGACCTTCTGTCGCAAGTGCTCTTAAAATTAGGACCCCATAACAATTGATGTATATCCCAACACATGTGCAGCTTCCTCAAATTCCGTCGCAAACTCTGCGCCCGATCCCTTCACATGTTTCGTGTGGTATCTACTTGACATCCTTCCATGGAATTCGCGCTCATTGAATGAGTTCTCGAAGCCTGTCACTGCACTTAGTCTTGTTGGTTTCTGGTTACTGCAAGGAACAGGATAAATAACTGTGTTGTGCGATAAGGAAGTAAATTTCGCTATGTACATGTAAATCTTCAAGTAACAAGTTCGCTAAGTCAGACCTGCCACTTGGTCCCGTGATATTACTCCACCTCCAAAATGAGTTTGGACCCCAAACTACAATATCTAGTCTTCCCAACCTTTTGTTTTTAGAATTAGTCAGTTACTAAGTCTTTGATTTCTTTTCATATTTTGTTGCCTAACTGACCTTCGGGGTTATTTCTATGAAACAGATTTATGTGTAGGTCGAGTTTTCACCCATTCCGGGGGCCCTGGTTTATCAGAGTTTTTTGCATGGAAATTTATTAATGCTTTACGGCAGCCTTCCAAATCTGATTCAGGTTGACAAGTGGGTTTGTCATCGTATTTCCACTTGACAAGGTATGTAAGCCCAGAGTTACCAATATTTTCATCATGTAAATAGAGGATCTTATCAAATATCCATTTATCAACAATTTTGCCCTCCACATTTTTTTCAGCAACACGCCCTGCAGTATTACGACGCTCATTTTCGTTGATACTTGACTGGCCTGGGACTACTAAGTCAGACCATGGTCGAACCATTGATGTGTGGAAAGTGTTGTTCACCTCTATATGTTTTGGCAATTCAACAATTACAGCCCTATTGTATATCTTAATTACTTTGTAAGGCCTATCCCATTTGTCATCCCATTTTTTTTGATCGGTTGGTCTTAAAATTTCTGAGGCTTATCATCACTTTATCTCCCTACTTATAGACTGGAGCCTCTGATCTTCGAGAGTTCACATTATTCTCGTATCGCTCTTGGGACTGACGGCTTAATGCTTTGAGTTTTTCAAAAATGCGACTAAAACGATCCGCAATAGCGTCAGCCCTTAAGTATTCTTTCTTCAATGAATCCTTTGAACGAGAGAGCTCCGGATTAGGTGGTTCTATTCCAAGGCGTGGGTTGTACCCATAATTCGCAAAAACTGGAGAGACACCTGTTGTCTCACTCATATTATTGTTTCCTGAGAATTCTGCCAGCGGAAGCCATTCAACCCAATCATCTTGTGTAAAATTCACAAATGCCATCAAATATTGATTTAGGGACGAATTAATTATTTCCGTTTGGCCATCGGTCTGCGGATGAAAAGCAGAACTATGTTTCAAATTGACAGATAGGCGTGCGCTCAGTCGATGCCAAAAATCAGAGACAAATGTAGAACGACGATCAGATATCATTGATTCTGGTGCACCATGAAGCTTGTACACCTTTTTAATAAAACAATCCACTAATTCTATGGTATCCAGAGATGTTGTTGGAATGAAGTGGCGCAATTTTGTTAAACGGTCCACAATCACGAGGATATGTTTATGTCTGATTAAACATCTGTATCTTATCACGTGCCTTATTATCGTAATATTTCCTTATATAGAATAGCGCCGGGAATAAGAAATTGGCTCCCCAATGTAATTATTAGATGTTCCTTAGGAGGGAGGGAGTTAGAGAGAGGAATTAATTGATACCAATATTGTTACAACAAGCTTGTCACGAAACACGTCCACTTGAAGTATTCCGACACTGATCAGTAGACGTACAGATCAGATACATCTTGTGAAGAGAGATTCAATCGTTCAGTCCCTGATAAAGGCCTCGGCTCGATTGCGTTTGCTAAGGAGTATAGACTTGATAGTTGACCCCTTCCTTAAGGCCCTTGACTTCAAATATATATTCAAGGATTTGACCCCTTTCACAAGGCCCTCAAATCCCGCGTCCACTACGCAAAAAAAAAAAAAAATAATCTCTTGAATAATTAAACACATATCGACCCCTTCATCAAGGCCCTCGATTCTGCGTAATATTTCAACAGCCTAAATTCATACGACCCCATTTTCTACTTTCATCATCACTAACTTTTGCAAAACCTGCATTCAAAATGCCCGACTCGTACACCGATTCCAAGCTATCTACAGACGGATCACGACACTCAACGAGATCACAATCAAAGCAGACGGCGCTCGATAAGGAAGCAGAAGCCAGGCAACAGCAGATTAACAAATTCATCGAACAGAAAGTCAACGACTACATAAAGTTCAAGATCAAAGATGATAATCTTTAGGAAGCTTTCAAGGAAGATTTTATATCTTTTGAAGAGGATGATTTCAACGCTGCCTCTCTCGTCTACGTTCGAGGTCTTCGGACCCACCTGCGTACACACGGAGTTTGGGTTAAGAATAATAGAGGTGTTAGCATTGTTACTTCATTAATGGAAACACTTAATGAAGATGACCCAACCCCCTGGACTTTAGAGGAAATCGAAAACTCAAATGAAACGTTCAATTCAAATATAATCTCTCACCTCTTCAGGTCCAAATTAGAGCCTACCCCTAGACTAAAAACTGAGACTCATGAAGAAATTTCGAAAATAGATGGAAAAATGAAAGCCCAGACTTTATCGTCGCACCCTAACATGCCTTCACAAAATGCCCCACAGACAATCTACCAAACTCGGTCTCTAACTAGAAGCGGAGGTTCAGGATGCGCTAAGGAACTATCAAATCTTACTCGAATGTATGAGAAAGATATGAAATACAATGGTGAAAATGATAGTTTTGATTATAAGCTCACCATTTTCCGTGACCTGTGTGACAGAACCGAGATACCTAGTCAGCTCTTTGCAAAGGCATATCCTACGATGCTCATAGGACCTGCTTTAAGTCATTACTACTCAAATTTAAGTGTTTACAAACACGCCACATTTGATGAGATGTGTGATGCCACAAAACGTTACTTTGAAAATATTGAGTACAAAAGAGGGAAATATGCAAGGTGGGAATCACTGAGTCTAAGCCTCGTAATACAAGAGAACGAATCATCCGGAAAATCAACAGAAAACTGTTTAAATCTTCTTCTAACGGAGCTGCGTCAACTACAGTTGAGTATGGATCCCGAATTTCGAACAGATTCTTTTCTCCACATGAAACTTGTGAACGCACGCCTCAACATTCCAACCTGTAGCTATGCCTGCTTTAAGCCTAGTGAATCCCTATCCGGCCTAATCAATGATCTCCGAGCCTCAATTGCAACATCTGAAAAATCTGATGGGCCAACATCATCCAATTTTTTCACAGATAGGCGATATCATAAACAAGGCTCTAGCTCTCGTTTAAAGGTCCATCCAATAGCTAGATCTCACTCATTAAACAACCAAGCATCTTCCGACTTTGGCAAAAGAAAGTGCTACGTTTGCAATCTTTATGACTGTTGGTCTAAAAATCACCCAGAAGACCAACAACAAGAAGCAAGGAAGAGGTTTAAGGAACAGTTTTCAAAACGCTTTGATCGGAATCCAGACCACTACATCGCAGAATATGAGGGTGAGTGTGACAACAATTCCACAGATAATCCACTCGATATTCAAATTGAAAGCCTAACACTAGATACTACCTCATTAGAGACTTAAGATGAGGTTAATAACATATTCTACACTTCCTTTGGATCTATAGAACAGCCAGAAGATATTGCAATAACGCTGGCAAACAAATCTTTTGAGCATGCAATCACCGGTCTCAATTTATCAAGTGCCAATAGTGAAGTTGACAATGACCCTTTTTCATTTATCACATCCGGAAGGTATAACAGCAACACATTCTACGGTATAATAATTGATACAGGCGCTTCAAAGCACTCTACTGCTGGCATTGATCAATATAATGCACTTAACAAAGTTCAGCCCTCACCAATTAATACCGCGAAATCTGGTGCAATCAATGTCCAATTTGGCATTGGAAGTAGTACCTCAATCGGCTCTGTCACTTTAAATACGCCTATTGGACAGATTGAATTTCACATTGTGAACGCCACTACACCAATTTTACTTTGTCTTTCTGATATGGATACCCAAGGCATTACTTTTGATAACCTCAACAATTTACTAGTGAAGAACTGTTAGACTCTACGAGTCAATTGA